TATTTTAATATAAATTTTATTCTTTATATATTTGTTTTTATAACAATTTTCAAAACTTTAACAGAAATGCAAAAATACTTTGAATGTACAATATACAAATATGTGTGTAAGTAGTCCGAGCTCTTAAAACATAGACAATGAACGCATAGAGTTTAGAATTTCAAAGAGCTTTCCTTCACAGATGTAAAGAGTTAAAATATATCATTAGAAAATTGTAAGGGAAAACAGTTTCCATTACTTCAATTAGAATTCGCTTAATGCGTTACATTTGTTGCACATTTTAGCTGCGACTATCGAGCAAATATGTTAATTTGTTGCATTTGGTATGCGTTTCAGACATTTGTCCAATTCAGATATTCTATAAGTACATAGCATGTCAGAGGCAAGTGTAAATTCTAATACAAAGGACAGCGAACAAGCTGTCAGAACGACTCAATTGACAATTCGTTGCATAAACATGTTGTGTCAATCAATATTGGGAGATTAATGCACAGATATGTTGACAAATATTTGGACAAGAAAGGGGGGCATACAATTTTTGGAAACAACAATTGCAATTGCAATTGTTTACACGAAACATGCGCGTACATGGTTTATAAATTAACATTATTATGATTATGTTTTCTATATATTTTGTTGTCGACTTAAATACTATGCAAATAACTGCACATAACTAAGAAACCAGAAACTAAAAGCCAGTTTAGTGTGGGATCAATTGGCTTAGGGCTTATCGAAGCCCGCAAAATCGGATGATTCTGAGTCATCGTCGTCCCGCTCGACGCCTATGCAATGGATGCCCGTACGCAGCATGGGCGTGCCCTTGCCCTTGCCCAGTACACGCGCCGCAATCACCAGCTGCAGCACCTCCTTGGCATTGTTCGAGTTGACAATGTGCAGGACCTCGCGCAGCAGCTTCTCCTTGTAGGCAAAGAACTCGATCTTCATCTCATAGAAATCGTGCTCGTCGTGCTTGGTGCCCGTAAATTCGGTGATCTTGCAGTGCAGATTCGGTGTGGCGCTCACAACCGGCACGAACTTGGTGCCCGGTGCTCCCGTGTTCTCAAACAGCGTCACTGGCAAATTGAGATCGATCAGATATCGATGATTGATCTGCAGAAAGCCCAGGCTCACGACAATCGTATCGCCCGATCGCTGATACGTCACACAGCTGTCGGAGCCGAAGTCGTCAGTCTTTAGGGTCGTCGCATCAAAGTGCACATGATGATCTGCAGAGAGAGAGAGAGAGAGAGAGAGAGAGAGAGGGAGTTAGTTTAGTTTTTAATATGCAACTAAATGCAATTGCATGTGCTTAAGCATCAAGCACGCTTGCTCGAGTTGTAAACACAACTCGATTAGCGCACATCGCAGCTCTTATCATCAAATATGACGCATGATTCCCCACAGACCCGAACCGAGTGCCCAGCATTGCGTGATTTGTGTGTTTGCTTGAAGTACAACAAATTAAGTTAATTGCCCTCCTCCTGCTCGAGCCTCTTGCGAATTACAAGCGATTTGTTGTCATTTTTAAATGCAAGTCTCTCACTCTACTTATCGACTAGCAGATGCCCTTTAGTTATGGACATACTCATCGCACATTCAGCGTCGCGTCTTCCCAGAGCTACACACTTCATCAAACTAATTTCTGTCTAATCGAATTACATTTTTTTTTTATCTGGCACAAAATAAATATTTTATTATATTTCTGATTTAGAAATCAAATATCCAAAGTTTCAATTGGTCTTTCGGACTGTCAAACTTGACTACAAATTGAACAATATTATTAGGTGTGAGGCCCAAAGGCCTCCAAGCCAAGGCGATTTCAATTAACGCAATTAAATTGGGCGACAAGAGATGTAAGCTAGGGAAGCAGGGGGCTATATGATTATGTCTAATGCTAAGTCTGTGATTATCACACGCAAGGCTTTAACTTGGGCTAATAGGATATAGGTATATTATGCAACAGATTAGATTAGATTGATTACAAGTGCATTTGATAATGATTCTAATCGTAACTTCTATTCTAATTTATGAAGCTATAAACTTTCATTGAAACTCTTACTCTACAATCTAGTCTTAATTTATTATCTCACAGTTTGAGAGTCGCTGCTTATAGTTCATATGATAGTTGTATAGTTTCATTTGAAATTGATTTAAAATGTAATCAATTGTGGTTTGAGTGCTTGTTTGCAGTTTGAGAGTCATTGGATTCCATTTGACTAATGACAGCTGCATATGTAGTATATTCGAAGCTAATCCAATAATATCAAGCTATTCTACAGCTACAGCCTCATAGTTTTACAGTCACTGTCACCAATTTTAAAGTCTTTAAAGCCGACTTACGTCTAATTTATATTATTCGGAGATATGTGAACCCATTCAATGGGCCCTTTCACAAATATAAATACTGTTGAAATGCTGTTCCATAGTTTGAAAGTCACTACATTTACTTTACAAATCAATAAATCAATAATTCGTAACTATAAAATACAGTTGAAATGCCTTTGACCTTTTGCCACAGTTTTAAAGCCACTGCCTTTGAGTTACGTATTGCAGAATATCCAACGGCCACTTAACCTTGCTCATATTTATAGTTTTCAATCCACTGCCTCTGAATTAATCACGCACAGAATTCGTAATTATGGCAGCCCCCCCCCCCCACATTTACAGTTTTACAATCATTGCCGCTACAGAGCAGGCAATTGCAGCAGTTTCCTCATACCACACAGTTTGACAATGACTTGCCCTTTGCAGAATACCTAAATTTAGCTGACCTTATACAAAATTCAATTCTAAATCGAGTATTCTCTATTTCACAACTACTGCTGCTGCACAGTTTGAGTGCCACTGCATTCGATTTACAGTTGCGCATTCACTTTATTGCATTTGCAGCTGTCCAAACGGAATTCTGATGCAATTATCGTTTATAATTGTAATTGTGAATTGTTAACATTTCATTTAATTTCGATTTCTCTCGTTTGCATTGCGAATATTCTAATCCGGCGTTGCCCGGCAACAGCTGCTTGCAATTTGGCCTGCATCGAGTTTTCTTTCCGCCCTTTTCTTGTAATTTCTATATTGGTTATGGGCAAACATAATTATTTAGAAATTGTGGCCAGAAATCAGGTGTCTGAACAGGTGTGGGTGTGTGTGTGTGCAGCGGTCTCTAATTTCCAGCCTTACTTATTTTGCCTGCGCCTATAYAGATAAATAAATAAACAAACAAGAAACAAAGTAAACGTCTCGCCGGTTGAGCAATTAAGTAAACTTCCACAGGCGGGCGAACAGCCGATGATCAAGTTGCCAATGATGTTTAAGGTAATGATGATGATGATGATGATGACGATGACGATGTTGTTGACGCCGAGGAAATTGCGTGTAAGCGTGCAATTAAACGCGTCCACATTTGCCAAAGGTTGCCAGGTTGAGGGGCAGAGCGAGAGCGCGAGCGAGGGCTGCAGCGGGGGCAATGCCAGCGAAGTGTTCCGGATTCTTACGATTCATTTACTTGCGCACAAACGAGGGATTAAATTGCATTAAAATTGGGTCAATGGGGACCAAAACTCGAGCAATACATAAAAAAGAAAAACAAATCTCAAGTGAAATTTAATTCCCGAAAAAAAAAAACATAATTCGAAATCGAAGACAAGGCGAAGGCAAAGGCAAGCTATGGGCATAATATGTATATATATTTCAGTCTTAATAATAGATTTATGCTGTATATACAAGCAGGTAGCTATGTTTTTATTGATGTGATTTGTGCTGGTTATATTTGTATACCCTGTCGTTGGGTATACTTCTGTTTAATGTGACAGAAAGAAGTTTCAAATAAATATTTTTTAAAATATATTTCCGATTCAGGGACGAGGTAGGACCTCTATTTAACTCTAGTCAGTCTTAGTAGAGTGCACCTAGGGTAACTCTAAGTCGAACATTTTCGCCTGGGTGTAGACAGCAGTTTCGGTTTGTAATAGAAGTCGAAATTTATTGACAAAAATATAATCTCAAACAAATTGTTTCCATAATTTGTCGGAAGTCGAGTCAGCTAGGAATATAAAATAAATGTACATACATATATACTTATATAAAGATTTATGTTAATTTATGAGTATATATACATATACATATTCCCATATAATTGCTATCAAAAATTAGCAAAGTCTTTTATGGCACGCTAAAAGCTCCGAGGCGTGCTTCGCTTTTACAATTTCATTAGCAACAATTTTTTTTTTATGCAAATATTGAAACAGAACTTGGAACGATTCATTCACAATCTATTCTATATCTATGACAGGTTGACGTAGTTCAAGCAACAATAATTCATGGTTTCGAAACATTTTGGCTATAAATAAATGAGACACAGAAGAAAACGTCTAGAGACCAATGAACAAATAAAACGAAATTCTGTGGGCCGGCGGCCCCAAATGCTTGCAGCTAATTGTTGAAATATATTTTTAAACATTTGTTGCAACAACAATTGTTTATATGACTAAAGTTGTTTGGGGTTCACTTGAGTAAATGATGTTTATCGGATATGGAAAGGCGTCAAAAAATGTGGGAAATTTGTAATCAAATCGTATAATAGATAAAAGTAGAGAGAATAGCAGAGAAATAATTTTGTTGGTGTACCAAGAACATTTATCATGAAATAAAGACATTTATCATGTTGTGTGTGCGAACAGTTCATAAAATATATATTGACTTCAATAGTATCATTAGTCAAGCGATAAATTGGGGCGGGAAGTCAACTATAATTTTAGTAAGCCTGTCCTAGATATGTCTATATTAGATGCAGGCTTTGCTCGATTGAAATCATCAATAAAAATGCTTGTATATGATTATGATATGTTATTTGATAAAAAAATACTAAATATATGATATAAGTTAAGTGAATGAAAGTATGAATATTATGATATTAAATATTATGATATGATATTTGATAAAAAATACTAAATATATGATATAAATTAAGTGAATGAAAGTATAAATATTACCTATAAATATTCCATGTTATATATCATTCAATCAATATTCAATCTATGGCATTTCTGCCTCAAATATATCCAAATATTTCGGTAGTATTTTAAGCAGAATTAAATATCCCTTAAAGCAGTTGTATAATTAATATACTTATCAAAATTTATTATTTGAATTATCTTTTAGTTTCTTGTATAAATATCAAAGTTTTTTCTTGCAGCTATCTTTTGGTTTCCCTTAATCTAAAGCTCTATAAATAATACAGTTTGTTGTTTATTATGCACACAAATTTTTAGCTAATGCAGAAAACAATGTTCAGCTTTTACACCTCGTGTTTTCATTTGTCATGATAAATGTGCATGAACCCAACGGCTGTTTACATATCTGCTAAATAATATATATATATATGTATGTAGTTTGCTATTCTATATAAACGGATATTCATATTTTGCTTTGCTATGCCACAAAAGTGAGGAATGTCTCAGCAATGAACAACAAAACAAAATTCTTTGCTTTGCTTTTTGGCCGATCGCCCGCTCAGCAAAGACACAAAACATATCATAATATTTATATATATAAGATATAGGTGTATTTATATATGTATGTGGATATGCTTGCGACAGATTGAAATTTATTCGCATTTAATGCGACTTTAATTGAAATTATTTACAGGAAAAGCCACTCAGCGGGTATTTTCTGCCTGCCTAATGTAAAATTGAACGCGCTCAAAAAAAGTTTTTGCTTATGAGAATAATTTGTTCTGCTTCTTCTTTGTGACGTTTTCTTTCAATTTACATTAATCCAGCTAAATCTGCTTAGAAGCGAATCAATATTGAAGGACGGACGAACGGACGGACGGCAAGTTCATTCCGCTCTCTGCCTTCATTGAGGCTTGTTTGCTTTCATTCTTGCTTTCAATGGAAAAGTCAAGCTCTATGCAGAGATCAAAGCAAAATATGAGTGAGAGAGAAAGTGAGAAAGACTGGGTAAGATAGACAGAAAGATATATATATCGAGACTAAGATAGGGAGGGAAAGGGAAAGGGAACTAGAAAGAGAGAGAGCAATGCAGCAAGAACCTTTCACCATCAGGGCACATTTTGGGTTCGGATTTTGCCACGCCCCTCTCCAATCTCTAGCCAGTTTAACGACTCTCGGTCGATCGCAATTGATGAACGTTTACTCTATGCATACAGCGGGTAGAACAATGTTATTCAATTGGTTTGTTTGTGGAGCGGACTTAATTAACATCCCAAGTGGGTTGGGGAGGCAGGCAGCGCGGTCCACAGTGAAAACCTTTTCAAAAGTTCTCCGCTTACCAGCGGCATTCGTTCCGCTCGACGATTGTCAGTGCCCCCAAAAGCTCTGACGTAGGAATCTCTTTGTTTTCCTATGAACAGTCACATGTTATTCAGCTGCTGCTGCTGCTGCTGAGAGATTCCCCAAGCAGTTGGGCACGTATAATTTCAGTGGCTTGTTAGCAAATTCGAAAATTAACTTGGAAAATGTATAAATTTACAATTGAGCACGATTGAATACGATTTTACATAAATTATATATTAGCAAAAGTTATACAACATTTATTGACGACGACAATTCAATTGGCAGCAAAATTAAATTAAGCGGTAATTCACAGAATCGTGTAGCTGTCACATAGAGTGACTACTGTACATTTTATTATTATGCATTGCCTAGTGATCTGCTATTGCAATCAATCAAACCCCATCAATCAGTAGACAGTCACTGAATCAAACAGTTCGTAGACATTCTATCAGTTAAGCAGCTACAAAATAAGCCAATCAATCAATCAGTCATCTGTAAATCAATTATTCGATCAACCAATAAATCTATCAATGAGTTCGATTAAATCAGTCAATCAATCTGTTAGCTAATCAATCAGTTTCCAGGCATAAAAAAACAGTTTGGCATTAGTTAGGCCGTCAATCAGCCAATCAGTAAGTCAATCAGTATAAAATCAAAAATACATATAGTCAATCAGTCAGTTCCGAAACAATTAGTCGATTAGCAATAAGACAATTAACCCTCCAATCACTCAATCAAAATCCCATACTGTCAATCAGACAAAAAGCGACTCAATCAACAAAAAGGTCAATCAAAAAATAATCTAAACAGCCCTCAGATAATGAAAACAATTTCATCAAGTGTCCCTCAAGTGCTCAAACCTCAAACTTGCACTTAAGAGCTTGAATTGCTTTAAGTACGCTCTCTCTCTCCCTCATCAAGACTTCTTAACAAGTTTTCACTGTACTCAAGCGAGCAATTCGAATTTATATATGTATGTTTTTGATATATTAGTTAATAATTGAAATTGTTCAATGAGTGGCACACATTTTGTTCTCTTGTGCGTCTCTTTGGGCTGCTCTACTTTTCCCTGCTCTGCTCTGCTCTGAGCTGTTTCTGTTGCCATTTGGAATGGGCAATCGAGAAATTGGGCAACAGCGGCGACAACATATAAATAGGCATCCAAATATTTCTGAATGTGTGTGTGTGAGAGTGTGTGTAKCACGATGTGCCCTTCGAAACGAATGCTCCTCCCTCTCTCCCGCTCTCTCGCTCACTCTCTGCTGTTGCCCTCTCAGTGGGGTTCCAAACTGCATAACGAATGCAACTTGTGTGTTTATGTTTACGTTTTTCCAAATCAAAACAATTGTCAAGGTGTCACGGTACACCTGTCAATCAAAGAGCAAGGCTGCATAGGAATATGTCAGCATCCCCCTGTTGCATGCTTACACTGCGAGAAATTGAGCGAGCTTACATGCAAATCGAGTTCAAGTTTATCAAGTTTTTGGATTTTTTTATATATATGTTTTTTTTTTTCTTTGTTTAAATTTAGCTTTTCTTATTATCAATAAGTTTTTTCTTCTACATTTTTCGTGAAGTATTTGATTTATCTATTTTTATTTATTTTATTTTATTTTTTATTTATGTATTTATTTTATTTTTAATAAATTACCTTTTTTTAAATTAATTTGCTTTTATTTATTTATTTATTTTTTTGTTTTTTTTTTTTTTGTATTGCTAAATGTTTTTTTTTTTTATTGCTTTCCTTTTTCATTCCACTATAAACTCAACTACAATTCATTGCCATTTTTTCGCTAAGTGTATGCGAATGTTTAAGCAAAGGGAAGCTCTCGAATGGCATTTGCAAAAGCAACAAAAATTACAATAACAATAACACCTATTAATAGTCAGCAAACTATTGCAGTTGCATGCAAATATGTATGCGAATGGCACATGGCACATGCATGCATGCCTGCCTGCCTGCTTGCCTGCGTGTGTGCATGTGTGCATGTGTGCATGTGCTTGCATGCATGAGTGCGCGTATGCGAAACAATAAAACATTTGTTGACAGACCGCGCTTTGTGCAATTTAATTAAAAAGGCAACTCGAAAGGCGCCTCGTTGGGGTGGCCAGGTGGTAAATCGAGGCGATAATTGACTTGGATCATGTTTCCAACTAGGCATGTATGTGTGTCTGTGTGTGTGTGTGTGTGAGATGATTGAGTATGTGTACTTTCGTCTACAATTACAGCTGTGCTTTATCATGGGCTGCGATTCATTACTGCCATAAATTAGCGAATTGCAAACAGAAATAGAAATAGAAGTAGAAATTGAAATTGAAATCAAAATCAACTAATCTGTGGCGACATTCCCAAGCACATAAAACTGCTTAAATCAAGCGAAAAGAGTGCTGTGTGGGCAAGCATGCACGACTAGCAGATGCTCTGTAATATAAATTGTGAGTGCATAAGAGTTTTTTTTTTTTTTTTTTTTTTTTTTTTTTTTTTTTGTGCAGTTACCAAATCTGTGATCTAACAAGTGTCTATATTAGGAAGACTCTACTGTATACACTACACTGGTCAACCGCTTACTTCTATATGTGTATCAATAAATCTGGTTACCTTTCTGAATCTTTAATGAGTTAAGCACACAAAAACTTGGTAAAAGCTAAAGTGCCAATTACAAATACATTTTAAATATAAATATTTACATATGCATAAGTTTGTATGCATATTTACAATGCCAACTCAACAATCTAGTAGCTTATAGAAGCTAAAGCCGAGTAAAGCTTCTCACGGAAATAATAACCTTTTAACAATAATAAATATAGCTATATACCTTATAGGGAACCGGTTGAATGGGTTTAAATAATTAAATGCAAAGATTATTATTTTTTAGAAATGGTAAAAATAACGTATTAAATTTTCAATTCTCCGTTCTCTCCTATATGTCGATAAAGTTTTATTAAACTTGTATAGCTCCATGTCAAAAGCCTATTTTCTATTTAATTCTCTACACGTTGTTAAGCATTTGTTAACAACATTTTGTCTATGTGTTCATTAATTTTATGATTAAGTGTTTGTCAAGCGCTTTTTAGCTTCCAAAAAATTGATAAGAAGACAGTTCCGATAAGAAAAAGAAAAATGTGACCAAAGTTGTGTAAATGAATTAGAAAACCAACATACACACACGCACACACATACAGACAGAGACTTACACGTACACGGTTAAAAATCAGGAACTAAGTGCAGCTCGCATTGAAAATTGGCTTAAGGGTGACCGTGAATAAGTATTATACAAATATTATATTTAATATGGCGGCAAGAGCGAAACAGACCGAGACAACACAAGGCCAAACGGAAGAAATACAACAAAAGCAAATGTTGAAAGTGTATAAACTGTCGATATTTTGATTTACTATTTGCACAAATCTCAATACATAACAACAACAACAATAGCTAAACTGTCAAGGCAACCGCATAAGGGGGCATCGAGGGGGCTGGCGTTCCATACATAACAAGCAACACGCATTGGCACACACACACCCACATGACACACATGCACACACTCGGAAATTACCACTCAAGCACACGCACACACATAAGTAGCTGTTGCTATTATTGAATTCGAATACGATTTTACATTATTGCCGGCCGCTTTGACCGCTCAATTTGCGCATGCAAATTGCAACGGCCAAGCGAAGGTAAACAAAAACATTTTTTACCCTTACCTGTCTGCGGTTCGGCTACTTCGCTGGCGCACTCGGACATCGTAGCTGTTTACAGTGCTTAAATGCTGGTTGTTGATTATTAAATAAAAAATAAAGTGTAGTTTCACACACAAAAGTTGAATTTACGTCTTTGTATTTTTTAATTTGCTCTGCAATTGTTATTTAATTTGCGTACCACAGAGAGACGCGAACGACGCTAAACAATAGAACTGACTGAAGCAAGTGTGACCAGCTGACGAGTGCACAAAAATGGTCTTCAATATCAAATATATCGATATTATGTGTACATCGTTCGTTGGTATTTTTCGACTGGTTATCGAATGGACAGTGCTGCCAGACTTGCAACCCTGTACAGTGTTGCATTGCTTGTTGTTCATCGAGAGTCGCAAAATGGTGGCTTCTGCTATACGCGGAGAAATTTTGTTGTACCATTAAGAACTAAAAAAAACACGCATTTGTGCTAATATTATTTAGTCAAATTATAGTGCAAAACTTTCACGTGCCACTGTCGCTGTAATACGCGTGTGAAAGTATACACAAATTGCGTTTCAAAGTCAGCGAAAATTGTGCCCAAAAATCTCCGCAGCAATAAAAAAAAAAAACGCAAAGCAAGCGAAGTGCGTGAGTGTGTGTGTTAGTCAGTGTGTGTGTGTGTTTGTATGCGCGTGTAACTGCTTCTGCATGTGTATGGCGAGCGTTTGCGTGTGTGTGTGTGTGCGCAAAGTGTATGCAAAAAAGAAGAAGACAAAACAGAAGAGCATTAAAAAACGTATTGTTAGGCCCCACTGACAAGTTGAAACGCGCACACACAACAACAACAACAGCTAAGACAGAAACAGAAACTTTTCGAGTCTCTAAATGTTAGCAACAACTACAACAAGTGTGCAAAAATTAATTATTATTTAAGTGTGTCACTAATTTCATTTGAAGCGTCGCCCGAATCGCAGTCACAGCCGCCGTCGACGTCGACGTCTTAGTCGTCGTCGTAATGCGCAGCGTAGAAATCATTAAAATTTATTAGTGAAAAACGTATGAAACGCGTCGCTGTCGCAGTCGACGTCTTTTTAGTTGGCGTCGGCGCTGCAACTGTGTTTGCACACAAAGTAAAGTGAAAAAGCCAAAGCGGGCAGAGGCAGACGACGATGATGACGACGGCGACGACGACGACTACGACTTTGGTTTGTGGAGCAGGGGACGTTTCTATTATGGACTTTTTTGGGGTAGAACAATACAAAGAAGCAGAAGACGACGACGACGACGACGACTCAAAGGCTCAACAAATTTTGTGCTGAAAAGGAATCACAAAGCGCAGCAGCAGCAACGGCAACGGTGACGGCGGCGTCACCCACCACCGACGCAGCTGCTGTTGCTGCTGTTACTGCTGCTGCTGTGACCACCCTTCATATGACAAGCTGCACGCCCACCCGCTGCCCGCTCGCTGCTGCTTAAGCGTTGCTTTGTTGCTTTTTCGCTGACGTTGGCTAAAAAATATATTGTTGCCGTCGATGTTGTTGTTGTTGTGTGACTCGCGCCTTTTTATAATACACTACAAAAAGTGTTAAATGGGCATATTAGTGTTGTGCTATATAGGCCAAAACAAAACTTCAATCTGATAACTGGACTATAAACATAAAACCAAATAAATATAAATTCCAATATTAGTTGGTCACAGATTTTGACAGGGCATTACGCAGTTGGTTAAACTCGACTGCAATTTTCTGGTTTTATAATTTTTGCATTCTTTGCTCTTTTTCTTCTCTCTGCACTGTGCAACTTCAGTCCAGTTTCTTCTTCTTCATCTGCTTAATCATAATCATCAGCTCGTCTCTCACCTACGTCATTTCTTCGTTTCCAGCTGTGCCAAGTGCAAATTAACCAAAATCTACATTTCCGGCTGCCTGTGCGCCCTGCCAAAGTAACGGTACAACAGGAGGAGCAACAGCATCATCATCACTAGATATATCTGCCTACTTCTATCTCACTCGCTCGCACGCACGTCAACGTTATTGTTAGCGGGCCAAGTGGGAGCCGCAGCCACCCGGTTTCGAATTCGAGTTCGAGCTGCTTGCTGGAACACACGCACACGCACACACACATCTATACTGGATTCATGGTGAGAACAGCTGTTGAACTAGGCATATATTTAATTATTATTATTTGTTTGCTTAACACACACTCACATACACACGCATAATAATATCGAATTTGCCGCCGGCTCATGTGTCATCTTCCTCTTTTACTGCCCCTCGGGGCTCTCGCTAAATACCAACTCTCTTTTACGCTTCATGGCTAAAACTATTGAACAGCGTACGAGAGTGTATAAGTGTGTGTGTGTGTGTATGTGTGTAGGGTATTAGGGGAGGCGCTATGGCCTGCTGTGATAGACAAGCAAATTGCCAGGCTCACTCAATGCATCATAAACTAATTAGGCAAAGTGCTTCAAGTGCCCCAGCACACACAGAAACCCACACACGAAAATACACACACTCACACAGATACAGAAAGGCGTTCGTTCATATTGAATAGAAGTTTATTATAAACTAGAAAATGGTATTTGTAAAGTGATACCCCGCATTGTTGCTTTCATTAGATGCACTATTAGGGTATCAACATGAATTGAGGTCTGTGAAAGATAATATTTTTAAATAATTTTGGATATAATGTAAAGTTAAGGGGAAATATAATATTAAATATTTCTTCTCTGTAAGTTTGAGCGCTCATGTTTTAATATCCCGAAAACTGAAATATGCTTGTCTGCTATAGTTTATATATTTATTTTCTATAAACATTCGTATTTAGTTATTTTGAATGTTATATAATATTCTCTGTCAGTTATGAGCAGCTTTCACTGTATTCTACTTTGATATCTTAATCATATTCGCATTTAGTTCATTTGAACTTATGGTTAATTTTAATTGCCAGCACAACGCAAAGCTGTTCACTGAGTCAGTAGTTCAAGTTCACGCAACTGTGATTCCAGCTAGAGAGCTTGTTGCTCTTGTTGTTGTTGCATGTTCCGTTGCTTGAATCGTTGTCGACGTCGTAGTCGTCGTCGTCGTCGTCGAGCTGTCAGAGCGTAACATCTACAAGCTGTCAATTAGTTTTGCGCGCCGTTCGCTGATTAATTGCCGAGTGGTCGATAACTTGGTGTTAACCATAATTAAAATGCAAACAAATCTATTTATTTAACGAGCATTCAATAACACACTCAACTACAGTTGGGAGAGCGGTCCATTAAAAGGGAATCATCATCATTTCAGATATGTTACCAAGTCTATCAATATTGAAAGTATAGACCTTAGGTAGTCTTCCTATATATGAATAATTATAATTTTGAATTCGTGGGAAACTTATCCAAGTTCTTTGATTATAATTCCAATGAAATTTCTCTTGTTGCTTATCGAGCAACTCTGTTCATTGGCTAATTTCCATGAACGCCAATGCTTGAGCTTATCTCTTTCAGCTAACGAGCGAGTGGGCAGCTCCTCGTTGGGCGGCTGGGGAGAGGTGGGTGGCAGGGAGGTGGAGGGGTGTCGGAAATAGGCAGCCCGATTAGGAGGGAATAAAAACGTGAAGTGTTTAATTAATAAATAACGTGCTAATAATGCATTTAATAAAAACAAAAGCGAACTCGAAACGCGCTAATGCCACGGGCGGAAACTCATGGCCCTACAACAACAACAACAACAACAACGGCGAGAAAGGCAACAAAATGAAAGTGCCCACGCCCACGCCCACTGATGTCGCTGTTTTTCTTTTTTTTCTGCTAGATGGATGATTATCAAGCTGTTGGTGGGGAAAGGGTTGTAGGCGGCCTTTGATGTCGATTTCATTTCATATTTTATTATTAGTCTTTTTGGCTTATTTATAATGCGCTGTTAAAGTTTACGTTTTATTAATCTGTTTGCTGGTGCTTTTAATTTATAATTACCGCTTATCTGATTGAAAAAGCAAGACACTTGGACTCGAGTGTCGATTTATTGCCACTGATTATAAAATGTGCCGTCGAAACACCCACACAGATGTATCTCAATGTACGTATACGTATGTGTGCATGTGTATAAAAAATATATATAGAGCCATGACAAATTAGATCATTTTAGAAATGTTTAACAAATTCCGAAGCAACAAATGAATTAGTTGAAAGGAATAACATAATGGATATAAATGAAAAGCAATAAATGGATGTTAAATATATTATATATAGATATCTTAAATATAGCTGCTAAGCAGTTTAAAGGAATATTATAATATATAACTAAACATATACATATAAAAGAAGTAAAATGATTATATTATAGTATGGGTACGATAATCACTCGTAGTTCGTATTTAATGACTTTTAAAAATAATTTTAAAATTCTGTAATAAAAACTCATGAAATGCAAAGGCAGCACAAAATGCTCATTAAATAAATTTACTATGTAGATAAATGTGACTGCTTTATGACGTAAATAAATACAATATATGTATGTGCATCCATATAATAATATAGACAAATGTTTTATCAGACATATTTAAAATGTTAAATCAGAAACAAAAAACACATTAATAATAATTCACAAATCCCTTGTTCATTTATAGCTTAAAAAGCTTATTGAAAATATATGATATATTCCCCTTCTCTCTCCCTCTCATTGTCTCTACGTCTCTATATCCCACCAATTTGTCTCTTGTGTGTGAGAACAACAACATTCCAACTGCGTTCTACTCCATTAGCGATAAGATAATTAACACACAAAGCACCTATTAAATCTATATATAAATATATGCATAAGCATATACAATATAAAGTCAAATAATAAAGCGCAGGTTAATCGGTGTAAAATCAATGAACCAATGGGAATATAATGCATAAACGTGTTTAAAAAAAAATTAACAATATCAACAATGAATTCCCATAAATCTTTCTCATTGTCTGTAATTCGATTATACACAAAAGGCAGCTAGAGTGATGCGAGAGCGTTAGATATGAAGAGAAAGAGTGAGAGAGAGAGTGATGGAGACAGAGGGGCAGAGCGAGAGCGAGAGTGTTAACTTCACATGCAAAACGTTCATTTACATTATGCCAGGCACACATTCTCTGACACTCGTTGCCCTACAACAACAACAAGAACAACAAACAATGACGACAGCGCCATAAACACTTGAAACGGGCCTAACAGTAACAACAACAACAAGCAGGGCCCAGAGCTATGAAAGGGCAAGCGGTC